CATAATGAAGTGTTTCAAAGAATCAACAGCAACATACTTGTAACGATTATGAACAAAAAACAGAACTCTATGACATTTCCATTATTGTGCTAATAAAGAAAGTAGGGTAAAATATGTTATTGCATTACATATCCTACATCAAAATGTAACTCTGAAACCATTTTAATGCAAGACTCACTCTGTTCATGAGCAAATAACTCATTACTGAACTCCACCCCCTCCTAACTGTGATTCTCTGAAAGGGTTTCACTATTTTATCAGCTCATGGGCTAGCCATGAGAGATAAGGAAAAGATGATTCACACTGCTTTTTTACAACTCCCTCACTGAATTCAAAGCAAAAATAATGTTTCTCTTATTTAAATCATTTTTATTTTATTTAAAGTCAAAAGATGGGAGCAAATTGCTCAAGGCCATACTGTTAAACAAACTGATTCGCTAAAACTTAAATCCAGGTCTGTCCAACTCCACAGCATGTGTCCTATTTGCCACGCAGCCTATCCTGAGAAACCATGTGGAAGGACACATACCAGCCTACCACTCAGAGGTAAAAACATATGTGCAGGTGTGTGTGTGTGTGTGTGTGCGCGCGCATACGTATGTGCGGGGCTGGAGAGGTGCCTCTGGTCTCTGGTTCTGTGTCCCTGCGTTGTTGGCACGTATGTCCTAGGCCAGTGATGGCGAACCTATGACGCGTGTCAGAGGTGACACGCGAATTCATTTTTTTGGTTGATTTTTCTTTGTTGAATGGCATTAAAATAAATATCAAAAATGTAAGTCTTTGTTTTACTATGGTTGCAAATATCAAAAAATTTCTATATGTGACACGGCACCAGAGTTAAGTTAGGGTTTTTCAAAATGCTGACACGCCGAGCTCAAAAGGTTCGCCATCACTGTCCTAGGCCCTTGGCAGCAGGGCTGATAACCCAGCCCAGTTCCCATCTCCGCATTCTATGCTCAGTAGCTTGATTACTATGTGTGGCCGTGTAGGGGAAGACCTATCCCCATCCCTCTCTCTCTAATTCACTGAAACTCTGCTGCTGGCCTATCCTCATGTCCCCACCCATTGGTTAACTAATAAAATATGGGGATGTGGTATCATTACAACAGCAAGAATGCCCCCCTCCAGTATTTCTTAGCAATTACGCTAAGAAATACTGGAGTAAACTGTAAATTGCAGTATTACTAAATACAGAATACACACTCCAAAACAAAAACAAAAACCCCACTCTCCACTCAGCGCTGATTTCAATACTACTTCCCCTTGAAATATCTTCCCTACAACAAAAGGAAAGGTACACGTATAAGAAAGTTTAGCATACTTTTCATGTTTCCCATGCTTCTGTATACTCTCAGCTAAAGAGAGCAAACCACATTGTAAAGTTCTACCTAATAAACAACAGAGAACCATGTTTTGAATGCTCTTTAGCCAACGAATCCTCTACCATAAACTTCAGAGCCATTCATCATATTTTTCTGAAGAATTTATTTTGTGGTCCAGCAGTTGTAACTCATAATGGCTGACAAAAGGTATACAGACAACAGGTTAGACTCACCACCAAGAAACAGGCAAAGGGCATCACTCAAGGTGTTAACATTTAAGTCAACAGTGGCTCAAGGCACCTTTAAGTGGAAAGTGTAGAAAATAGGTAAAAACCAGTAGGCAATCAAAAATAGGTAGAGGGTTTGTTGACATAATGAAGATCACATTATGTTAGAAGCCTGGAGGGCCAGCAATGATGTAAATGGCAGCTGAATGACACTAGCTGGAAGCACAGCTTGCTGTCGGAAGAGTGGCTGCTCTCTACATGGTGGCAGGAAGGACTCTCCATGGGGAATGTGCTGTGCTGATCCCGTGAGGTTCTGACTCAGCCGGGTCCCTCCCTCTAAGAACACACACACACACACACACACACACACACACACACACACACGGGAGGTCTGTGCATGGGCCTCAGCACCTCACAAAGGGTGAGGGAGAAGCGACTGCTTGC